TGGGAGATTTGTTACTTGTTCAGATGACAATATCCGGTGAAAATGCTTATTTGAGTCATTTTCCAAGACGTAGGCTAGAATCTGTCAGTGCAAAGTACAATATCCACACCGGTGCGGTGACTGACTGCCACACATACTCTTCAAAACATTAGATTCATCCGTGCTGGAGCTGTGCCGCCACACAACCCACACAAGGAAGATAATTCCGCAACTAGCTGCAATTGCAAGTTTTCAAACAGAGATGGCGAAAAAGAGGCAAAACCTACAGATTAATACTCAGTAAAAAAACAGTAAGTCAGTATTAAAGCTGTATACAGAGTAGAGATATGCCGGTATCAAATTTTCATGTTGCGATTAATTGCTAATGCTTTTATAACTGTATACGGTATTATCACAGAGTAATAAAAGTTAAATACTGTACATACACACACACACACACATATGTATATATATATATATATATTAGGGATGCACCGATACCGATACTGGTTGCGGAGATTCCCTCGTTCATTTGTGTGATGTTCGTAAATGCCTTACAGATGGTTGTGTAAATACTGTCATACTAACAGCTGTCTGAATTATTTTGGTTGATTGTAATCCATTACATACATTTCTATCAAAATTATCTAACATTATCAAGATGAATTTGTTCTGACACAGTGTAACTCTGAGTTCTTGTCATATTTTATTACCATTTTCTAAACTATAGCGAATAAACTGTGATAATGTGAGAAATGTTGAAGGTGTCTGAATAAATTTGGTCTTGACTGTATCTATTTGATAAATTAAGTTAACCAACTAACATTATAAATACCCTTTTGGTTCCTGTACCCAATATTTAAAAAATGTACAAATGCAATAAAAATATTGGTATCGGTACTCAGTATCGGCAAGTACCAAAAATAAAAGTATCGGTATCGGGCGAGTACTGGAAAAAGTGGTATCGGTGCATCCCTAATATATCTATATATATATATCTTGAGATCTATTACTTGTGTTCTTTTTAAGTTAGTAAGAATTTTGGAATATTAAGTAAACCCCAATTTTTTTTTCTATACCATGATTGAATGTTCAAGTAAGCTACGTTTGAAACAGAAAATAGGAACTCAGAACTTAATTCAATTTATTAATTCCCTGCATTCATTCAAAGAGTTTATTAAATTCAGAATGTTCTATGTTAAATTACATTATTTAAACACTGTGGTCAATTAATGCAATTTAATCAACATTTGAATGAGAAATGTAGCCTGGGTTCAGTCATATACCAGAGGAGTTCATACCATTTTGGGGACTTTAGATTTATAGATCATTTTCCTCTTCCGTGCTTTTTACGGCTTTTACTCTTTACACGCACACGCGCACACGCACACGCGCGCACACACGCACACACACACACACACACACACACACACACACAGACACACAGACTGTGGTCAATTAATGCAATTTAATCAACATTTGAATGAGAAATGTAGCCTGGGTTCAGTCATATACCAGAGGAGTTCATACCATTTTGGGGACTTTAGATTTATAGATCATTTTCCTCTTCCGTGCTTTTTACGGCTTTTACTCTTTACACGCACACGCGCACACGCACACGCGCGCACACACGCACACACACACACACACACACACACACACACACAGACACACACACAGACAGAGACAGAGAAAGAATAATAAAGACTGACTCTCTCTCTCATACACACACACTCTCTCTCTCTAAGGCAGGCTGATGATATTTCATTGGCCACATCTTTATATACCCGATGTTTTAATCACCCTCCATGCCAAGGAGATGCCCGTGGTTCCCCCGCGGCTCTTATTTCACAAGGAGCCGTGTCTGGCCGATTCTGCTTGATGTCCCTATTTGTGGAGAGTAGTAAAATGTATATTGACCAATGGTAGCTTTTAGCTGGAATGTTTTGACTAGCCCATGTGGGGTCCTGTTCAGTTCTCACCCCCCTGGATACGGTTAAGTATGTCTATCAATCCGACAGACAAACTGCACTCTTTATTCATCACTGGAGCAGGTTATGTTATTCACTGTAGGCCTGGGGTGTCACAAATGGCGTCCAGGTGCCTGCCTTCTAGTTTATTTAGGAGACGAGTGCATCCCTTCCTATCACGATTAATAAATAATTAATACCTGTGCCAATCAGAGACAGGGATGAAGTAGTAGCAGACAGCCTAATTCATTATTCTGGAGCCACCCAAACTAATTAAAGGCGTAATGTTTGCATTAATGTGCAAATTATTTTATCTGTTGTTTGCCTGCTGTGGACCGTCACTGGGAAAATGGGTGACAGATTTTTGTTGATCCTGTTTGTCATTTTTCACCTTTTTTTTCCCCCAGCACTAATCTAAACGAAAAAGAGAGAAAAACATAACAGGAGTTGAACTCAAATCATCAATCATTAGACTGTCAAGCTGGAAACTAAAGCAGCATGTCATAAACATTTAGAAATTCTTTTGACAGCAAAGTATTAGAATAAATTGATATTGGTGGACTTTTCCACTCTACAAGACAATTTCAGCAACTAGGGTCTAAAACTCTTTTCAAAAAATTGTTTTTTATTTATTTTATTTATTTATTTTTTTATTTTATTTTTCAAAAATTGACTTTTTATAATGTATTTTTAAGAATTATGTAGATGAGAGGTATTTATTTATTTTACACAAAGGATATGTGAAAATAGGCGCTTAACCTATTGTACAAGATATGTTAACAACAACAACAATAATAATAATAATAATTATTAAATATTTAAAATATTTAGATTATAATTAATAGTTTATAAAGGTACAGGGTGTTCAATGGATTGTACTGTTGTCTAACAGCATACCATTGTTCAGCCGATGAAATGTCTTTCCGAAAAAAAGAAAAAAAAAAAGTTCAGTATACAAAAACTCCATGAAACATAGAAAGTTGTGTGTTGCCAAAAATTATATGATCTAGGATCTTGGTACAGTGCTTGGCACTGTAAAGACTGTAAGTCTATCCCCACAGTCTTGTTTTCATCAGTGTAAAATTCAATATGGCGTATAACCTAAGGTTTATGTTCGAGCTTGTACTTTCCAGAGTCATGTCAGTCCCACTCTGTGTTTCACATCACCTTTCCTCTATGTCCTCTATACTTCCCGGCCTTCTGTCTTTCTGTTCTCCCTATCTTTGAGGAGCTGTCTTAATCAACATCACACTCTGTTGTTCTCCACACCCATGGCTTGATTGATGAAGAGACGGGGCAAAACTGTCAGTAGATGACAAACATGTTCCCTCACAAATCAAAATACTCAACACTGCTGTGGTGTACAGCTGGCTCACTCTGCTTTGTATTTGGTGTGCAGGTGTGAAAAGCGGTGTCTTAAAAGGTTTGTAAAACGTAGACAGACCACTATTTGTGCCCTTTTCACTCCCTCAGAAGGTGGATTAGTCTGTCAGAAAGTCTGGAGCTCTTTTACACATCATCTTCTGGATTAGAATTCACCATGATTCCACACTTGAGGGCGGTTGGAGGTTAATTGGAAATCCGCCTGGCTGCCCACTTGTGTATTCTATTATTATTTGGGGCGAGCAACAACATCATGCCTTTCTTCTGTGGAACATGAAAGAGGATATTTTTGTTCGTAATCAATGAGTTTTGGTTTCCATTGACTTCCATTGTATTTTTTGACGATACAATGGAAATCAATGGGAACCAAAACGGTTTGGTTGCCAACATTATTTAAAATATCTTCTTTTATGTTCTGCAGAAAGAAAATAAATCCATACAGGTTTGAAACAATATGAGGATGAGTAAATTATGACAGTATTCATTTTTGGTTAATTTTCCATTTAACACATTAACTTTTTTTTTTTGAATGTAACCTTTAAATTGTGATTTTAATGCAGCTTTTTAAATTGCATTTAAATATTAAATTTAATATTTTATTTTGCAATTGAAATTTTGCATTTATTTTTTTTCCAAAATAAAGTGAACCATTTTTAAAAAAATATATATTGATAATTATTTCATTCGTTTTATTTTTTAAATGCTACTTCTAGTCCTAAATATGGTTTTCAAAGAAGTCTGTAATGCCTGGATACCTGTTTGAATTCCAGTTCATTTGAATGGCAGTTGCCCAGCTGTTACACAATTTAAAATCTGCCATTATTGTTGATGAGGCTCAGCCAGTCAGCTGAGTAGTAAATTCCATGTGACTGTTGACTCTGACATTACACATTTTGTGTCGTGTGTACTACAATATATTTTGGAAAATTAAACAATTCCTTGAGTTTTATACATATTTTGGAAATATAAGTCATAAAATGAGTTGACTAGTGACATTAACAAAGAACATAGACTAAAGTTAGCTCAACCTCCTGCTCAGACAGTCCATTATTGTATTGTGAGGAAACTCACATGGCCTGGCGTTCCATTTGTCAGGCTTCTTAAAGGACCTAAATTCAGGAAGATGATTTTCTCCAGGAAATACACCTGGCTTCCTGTGGGGAATTACCTTTCAGTTTGTAAGGGACACGGATCTGTGCCACTGTCACTGATTCAATGCTTGTTAAGCCCTGACGTGGCTAGCTTAGCTGAATTGCTGTGCTAGGGTGAACTCCACAGTCATTTGGAGTAACTAATGACCGAAGTTAGGAAGTGATTTTCTGTGCAGAAATCTCAGAGCAGTGGATTATCCACGAGAAATGCTTCGTAATTGGAAGAAACACTCAGAGACCTCGATTGTAGTTTTGAACTCACCACTTCCTAATTACAAGAAAATAGATACAGGCTGATAAACACTCACAAAACGACACAGCGTTTCCTAAATTCCCAGACATAAATAAATAAATAAATATATATATATATTTCGAGGCCTTGTTTCCATCAGGGCGTCTCATTAAAAAAGAGTGAATTTAAGGGGCTAAAACCAGTCTCGCAGACGATGGCTTTGAGAAATGCATCATCTGCACAATACTGAGCTCTGTAAACCCACACAGCACAGAGCCATTTTATGTGATGACACGGATCCTCCATTGTCATTCATTCCTGTTAATGCCTCACTGCTTATCGCCACTCACTCTTCCTCCAAATGTGGAAATTACAGCCGGCCACAGTTATCACCCACAGACTACAGACTGCCAGGGAGCACCGGCTGGATTACCCTGCTCCACCAATTACCCGCCAAACCCTGAGCAGGAAATGATTTTCATCATTTATGCTCCAGTCAGCTGGCATTGTGGTTTGACACAGGGCAGATATATTGGAGAAGCCAGGGCAGCAGCAGTGTCTGAAAAACTGGATATCAGCAGAGATTTTTACTGGCGCGTATAAACATTTGTACTGTAGGTCTACAATGAGCCTCTATAAACGTGAAAGAGAGCAACAGTTTGTTCAGTGCATTATAGCGCTATAATTTCGTGTTTTACGAGAGCAACATGCTTGTGGCAGTATCTTTTTATTATTACAACAATGTTTTTGTATGTGACTGAGGAATGAAATAATACTACAGCTGCTGTTTCATTGTGTTGCAGGCATGAGGATCCTGGTAACGCTTCTGCTGGACACTCTCCCCATGCTGGGCAATGTGCTGCTGCTTTGCTTCTTTGTTTTCTTCATCTTTGGGATTGTAGGGGTCCAGCTGTGGGCCGGGCTTCTCCGCAACCGCTGCTTCCTCCCAGAAAACTTCTCCCTGTGAGTGTGATGGCTTGGGTTTTAGTATTACAGTCATGATTCATTTGACCTCAGGAGTATTGAAATGAGAAGGTTTATAATGTGAGCACATTATTGTAATGGTGAAAAGCCAAATGTTATCACAAGATCCATTTAAATGGGATTTTATGGGATAAAAGCAATAAAGAGACATGCATAAATTAGCAAAGACAAACAAATAAATATTATTTATTTCTGTATGTGTATGTATATATGTTAAGCCATTATTTTAATAAATGTATTTTACTTATTTATAATTTCTATTTTTTATTTTATAGAAATATATA